CAGTAAATACCAGCAAGTTATATCAATTATCAAATTATAGAACCAAACGGGCACTGCCGCATACGTTCGCATATGAGTACGTACATTCCATTGCATTTAAACCGAACGATCTTGAAACTATCTGAACTGACCATAGCCAATAATTTTGTAGTTGCAAGTATAAAAAATTTTTGCTTTTCTATGTAAAGCTAATTTCTAACTGATAATTGAATTCAACTCGATTTTTTGATGATTTGAACCTTGTCTTTACCTTGATTTTAATTGTGTAGCTTAGCCAGCGAACCACTGAGCCAACAAGCAAAAAGCCAGCGAACCAACAGCAATTAACACATAACGTTTTGGTCTTGATGGATGGATTGGTTCAGTTCACCAATTTCATGAATGAGTTCATGTGTAACTCAGATTTCATATCTAAAAGAACTCAAAGCTAAATAATTTTGTATTATTCTTTGCTTAAAGGTTATCAATTGTGCCAAAAATTATATGGTTTTTTTTATATTAAATGAAATTAAATTAATACAATTTAATTGCCTTCTCAACACCTCAAAGTTTTGAAAAAAATGTATCTGAATAATATTTGCTATAATTCAATTTAACTAAAATTAAAATAATTTGCTACGGAAACTGACAGATTGTAATTAAACAAATATTTTAAAAATTATCAAAATTTTATCTTATACGATCCGTAGTGTTATGTATGGTAATATGCAATGAACTTGAATTTCTATTGATCGATCTTATACGATTATTTGTTTGTGAATGAAAATAATTATTTATTAAAGTGATTTTTTATAAAGTTTTTAATCTGGCTGTGGGTTCCTTCTTGTTAAATAGTTAATATTTCTTATACTTATACTTCTTATACTCTATATTTCGACTCTCCTTGAGAGTCGTCCTCAGGATTACGATTATAAGTTAATATTATTAAAACTACATATATGGTACATTATCCTCTTTGTTTTATCGTCTATATTGCAAGAAGGGACCTACAGCCAGATTAAAAAATCATTTTAATAAACAGGTCGATAAATAAATTTAAAAAATTTTATTATTTATTAAAGTAATTGTTAGTTCACTCTTTTAGTTCTTTATACCTATTTCATTTCACTTCAGCCTTTACATTAATTATAAATAATTATTTATTATTTGATTCTCATTGAAAGAAACTGCCAACAGTTATTAAATGTTTATACTTTTGGTGAAATGATTTAGTCACTTCGAATACTGATGCTGAATATATGAAATCAACATTCATAGCTATTACAACCCAATGTGGATCAGAGCTTCCTTAATAGTGTTATTTATGGATTTTATAATTTCGTATATATATGATTTTCAGGTCCGCTTTAACTCGCCGAGCCTTCGATCTTACACTAATCTTGCGGACACGTAAGGAACTGTTCACTTTTTCTGTTATCTGGCTTTCGGATGATTTATACCAACCATTTATGTTCACTATGAAGCAAAGTTAATGAAATTAACTTGAAGTTAAACAAAACACTCAATATATAAAATTCTTTTGCAAATTATTATTGATTATTATTGAAGCATTGTGAATACTTCCCGTTTTTAAATTATTACTTATAAAAAAATACTAAATATTTTCAAATTATTTTAATTTGCAATAATTTAACATTAGTGACTCTTATTAAATATCACGTATGTTTACACTTATTTTTTCACATAAAATATATAATTCCTTTATATATGTATTAAACTAAACATATATTAAAATTCAGAAAAATTTTAAAAATCTTTGCAATAAAAAATTGGAACGCGATGAATTGTATTCTATCAAAATTGATATTAACACATTATGCTTACAACACATATATAAATTATAATAACCTTTATATATACTGTGTTAACATTAAATGTACTTTTACAGCATTCTTGTGCTATAATATTGCACTTTTAATGAATATGAAGTGCAGTCGAATTGATTCTCGTAGTTCAATTTAATTTTAAAGTCTATCAGATGGGTTGAAAATCGTTTTGGCTACGGAAGTGAAATTGAATTTTAAATTTTGAACTCTAATGTACAAAAAAAAATGATCCATTTTCAAGTATCAGGAATATTGTTGTTCGAATATTACTAATAACAAAGATATGTAAATTGAAAATCTCGTTTTATTTATTTAGAGCCAACTTTTTTTTACTATTTAAATTATTTAATTTTTCTTTAAAGACTATTATTGTGAACACATAAAAAAATATACAATTAAAGTGTTTAAATAATAAATAAATAATAAAAATAAATAATATTAATCTTATTTTTTAAACAAAAATTTAAGGAACAACTAATCTATTTGTTGACAAAAAGCCATAAAATCTTTTCAGATATGATCAATTATTGAATTTTTTTAAATGGATATTTATTTTATATATACACATATTTATTTCATATCTATCCGAACACATTGAGTAAATTTTATTAATTATATTGAATTTATCTAGTATTACATTCTATTTACATTCTATGCTATCCTGCAGATTCATATTGTAGTTCACAAATCTATCGGACAGATGCAGTACTTCGGTTCTTCAAAGTCCTCTTATAGTTAAACCTTATGAAATTGGGTTTAAAACTAAGCTGTTATTGTGGTTAGAGAGCCTATTGCAGTTGGTACTTTTTTCCTTTATATAAGAAATGTTAAATTCCTTGTGTGTATTTGGCTAGTTAGTTAATTAGTGTACTCAAAACGTCAAACGGAGCGGAGCCTTAACTGAAGTTCGCAGAACTTATGACTAAAACCATTGATAAAATAAATATTAGAATTGCTTGCAGTGCCTCCTTCTTATATATCATATTCACATGAAATCTATTATGTTATTTCCCTTGGTCCCATCATACTTTCTTTTGAAAGATGAGAAAAATTTGATATTTTTTTGTTAAATATATAAGTATGGTTTATTTATGATGTATAACTTTATTAGTATCATTCAGGAAATTATTTCTTGTCTTTTTACTTCTGGCATACCTACATTGTAAATGAGTTCTGTAATTTAGTAAAAAATTTTAATAACTGGTAGTACCGCTCTCCAAAGATCTTTAGTTTTTGTTCTACTTATTAATTTAAATTATTCATGAGTTATGTATTTCACAAACTAATTATATAATAATATATTTATTTAAAATTTTTTAAATAAAAGTTACATACATATATACACTGAAATTTTAAATATATGTGTTGATACTATATGGGAGAAAAACTTTTTCATCGAATCAAAAAGATTCTTCCTATATTCTACTTCATATTTCAGTCTTTTTATAATCGATTAAATACTAGGTAAAAAGTATATAGCAGCGGTTTGGGATTGTGAAAGACACTGACTTCAAGGGAGTAAATGAACATCAATCGTTTACACTCTATTTAGTTTTGTGATGCCGTCATAAATGCTGATGATGTCTTCTCATGTGAATATGTCTTCTTACCCCCACTAGAAGACATATTGAAATATCCAGAAAAAAAGTAAAATTGGTTACGTGCAAAAAGAAAATTAAGTTCAAATTTGGAGTATGAAGGCTAATCCGATTAAGTCTGTAGATATCATAATTTATAATGAGAAGAGGTAGCACACAGCATCAAACGTCAAAGTAAGCTATCAAGTCGAAAAGTAACTATAAAAGATAGTATTTATTTTAGCAGAAAGCTCAACTGAAAAAAGGACATTAAAGCATAACCAACATAATATCAAAACCAAGACAATTCTTCTCTGCATTGTTTATATCAATTATCTGTTCAGTTTTTTACGTTATTATGTTTTCTTTAATTTAGTTCTACTACAACTAAAATTATTAAAATAAAGTCAAACTGTGGAAAAATTGATCTTATACGGACAGAAATTGAACCTTGCCGATTCTATAATATATCTGTGATTCGTTTTAAAATGGTTTAAAACACTAAAAAAAACATCGTTATGGGGAGAGTAGATGTAGATTTTCAATATTTACCGATATACATAATGTCAAAGAAAGCTCTATATGAAAAATATATAATATAATATAATATAATATAATATAATATATATAATATATTCAGTCTATATCTGAAAATTGGGTAAACATCCCTTGTGTATTTAAAGCGAATTATCTAATGTTTTTCAACAAAAACGCACACATTTATCCTTGCAAATATTACATTAAATAAACCCATAAAGTATTTTAAATATGTGATTTCATGCCCTAAAAATATATTTTCTAACACCGATCTGTGCTTGATGAAAACTATACTTTTTTCAGGGCATGAAATAAATATGCAAACACAGAGTATTATTTATTTTATAAATTTAATTGTGATATAATTATAAAAGATAATGAAGTATTTTTTGGATTCAATATGTATTATAACCTCATAGTCCGATCATTATAAAAAAAATTATATATTTCAAACAGAATTCTGCATCAGTAGCCTTCTTCCCCCCGGAATACTAAAACTAAAAATGTGTTTATTAATTATTAATTTGATTAATTTTATAATAACTTACTTATAACTTAACTTACTTGTTACTAGTACAAATTCGGGCACCATCCAGAATGCTGTGCAATTTTAGATTATAATGCACAGGTGGTACCTGGACTAGGATGAAGGTGGTAACTTCATCCTAGTCCATTTAGCTCAAAGACGCTTTGCTAAAACTATCTTAGCTTTTTGGATTTTTCTGAAGTTCACTGTATGCATTTTATTTCTAACATATAGACTTATGTGAAAGGGTTTACACCCTATAAATTGTAGCTTTTTGGATTTTTCTGAAGTTCACTGTATGCACTTTACGTTTTATTTCTAACATATATAGACTTATGTGAAAGGGTTTACACCTTATAAATTGTAGCTTTTGGATTTAGTTTATCATATACAAATTTATTGAAAAAAATAATTTATACCATAGAAGAAGAATGAAAAATTTATATTTTATATTTTCTACAGTAAATATTTACATATCGTTTTATTAATATGCAATTAATTTTTATAATAAAATTTTTACATTCTGTTCTTTAGCAAAAGGGTCTTTTCGGAAGAAAACGTTTGATTATATTCACATCAGAAGATGCACATTATTCTGTTGAAAAGTTAGCCATGTTTATGGGCTTTGGTAGTGAAAACGTTTGCAAAGTTACTACCAACAAAATTGGAAAAATGGATCTTAACGTACTGGAGTCACAAATCAAAAAGTACGTCAATGAGGATTGTCAGCCATTGATGGTTTCTGCAACTGCCGGTACTACAGTTTTAGGTGCATTCGACGATTTGTCTGGTATTGCAGACATATGCACCAAATACAATATGTGGATGCACGTGGATGCTGCCTGGGGTGGTGGTGCTTTAATCTCTAAAAAATATCGTTCATTACTTAAAGGCATTGAAAGGTAAGTGAATATTTTAAGCATTATTTTAATTATAGATATAAATAGTATATTTTTGAATCTTTTAACATCTCAAATCTTATAGAGCTGATTCTGTTACTTGGAATCCACATAAATTATTGGCAGCCTCACAGCAATGTTCAACATTCTTGACACGTCACAAAGAAATACTCGGTCAATGTCATTCAACTAATGCTACTTATCTGTTCCAAAAAGATAAATTCTATGACACCTCATTCGATACCGGTGATAAGCATATACAGTGTGGACGTCGTGCTGATGTTTTCAAATTTTGGTTCATGTGGAAAGCAAAGGGTACCAAAGGTCTTGAGGCACATATTGATCAAGTATTCAAGATGTCTGAGTACTTCACAAAATTAATCAAATCTCGTCCTGGTTTCGAACTGGTTTTAGAGAAACCAGAATGCACTAATATTAGTTTTTGGTATATTCCTCCAAGTTTACGAAATATGGAACGTAATGAATCCTTCTATACTAAGTTACACGCTGTAGCTCCAAAGATTAAGGAAGGTATGATACGTAAAGGTTCCATGATGATTACTTATCAGCCACTTCGTCAGTCACCAAATTTCTTCCGCTTGGTCTTACAAAATTCATGTTTGAATGAGTCTGATATGTTGTATTTCATTAACGAAATTGAGTCTTTAGGAAGTCAGTTGTAAGTGAAAGTAAAATTATTCATCATAAATTTTAGTATGAAAAATAAAAACCTATTTATATTCATTGTTACACATTTTAAAATAAATAAATATATATAAACAAATAAAATACATTGTACAATTGTTTTATTTTTTTTAAAGCAACAATGTTTATACGTATTTTACGCTATGAAAGATATCTCAATAATTTATAGTTAACATAAGATTTAATATTGGACTGACAGCAGGCACGTAGTCAGGGAGTAGCTGTGTTCACCCCCTCACGCCATCGAAAATAATAAATATATGTATATTCATTATTATTGCATCATTATTTTTTCAAGCTATTGTACCAAAATTATTTGTACAGGTTCAAAATTGTTAGCCTCGAAGTTATAGTCCAACAATTACATACGGACATGTAAAACCAATAAATATTTTTAAAGTAACATTGGAAACAATCTTTATCTTTATCTGAAGAGACAAAATGTCTACGCTATGTCAAAGCAGGTGAACTTTGTAGTCACTTTCTTTTTGAATGTCCTGCTTTGATTTTGGTCTGGAGGAAAATACTAAGATAAAAGCTTCTATCTGCATCTACTACTAAGAAATTCTAATTTTAACGACATTTTAACTTAAAATTAAAGAATAATACCAAGTGTATTAGGGTCCCACCCATCTTATTGATTAATTTATGTGTTCCCTATAAGCTTCATGATTATTCAGTGATTGATCTAAGATCTGCGTACCTCCCCGTGCGGAGAGTGATAACTCTAAGATTAGATAGTGGTAAGTAGGATAGCCTGTCAGTTTTCGCTTATAACTTCAGGGCTCTGTACAAACTTCAATTTTAATGTTCAATTAGGTTACGTTAGATTGGAGTGAAGGTCTTGTACAACAAAGCCCACTTAAGCTTAAATCATGGCTTGACTAATCTGTAGTGATACAAAGAATAGCTTTATTTATGCATAGGCCAAAAAACTCTTATATTGCCCCAAAGAATCTTATTATCGCAAAGATTTGTAATCTTCTATTTGCTCTAGATGAGCATTGACAAAAAAGGTGAAACACGGATTTCTTACAGATTAAATCAGTTGGCATGTCTTTCTGGTATGTAATAGCCTGTTTTAATTTAACGTTTCTTGTCCAGTTAGAACCAAGTCAAGACCGAATATTAATTTAAAAATGTAAAGACTAGAAAGTGAAAATTGTATCGCTCAGTTATAAAATGTAATATAAAATTACAAAATTTGTGGTTTTAATGACTTCTGACATCTTAACAATTAAACTCCTGGACTCGATTTTTGTGTACTAATAAAAACTTAAAGAAAAAGGTTTTCAAACTCTTTTGACAATTTTATAACATATATTTTAAACTTAAAACATGAAAAAAGGAGACTTTCTCGAAGACTTTTATATCACTGGCACAATCACTTCCGTTTTATAATATTTATTTATTATCTATAGAAAAATTTTTACTGCATATTCATAATTTAAATCGCGTTTATATTTAGTTTCAAACACACAATCTAAAATTTAAAAATACTTCAACACATAAGAATAATTAACTTATCTTAAGAAAAATTATAAGAGAATAACAATATTAGTGCTGCAAATTATCTTAATTATGCTACATTGTATACAGTAATTGTTGTTCACAATTTTAATTTGCGATACGGATAGTGAACACCGTGGCATGAATTCTTGTATTCTGATAAACGGATATTAAAGCATTATGCTTACAACACATATTTTAATCATGATAATCTTTGACATTACATATACTTTTACAGCATTTTTGTGCTATAATATTGCACTTTTAATAAATATGAAGGGCAATCGAATTTATTGTCGTAGTTCAATTCAAATTTAGAGTCTATCAGATCGGTTGTAAATCGTTTTTGCTACGGAAGTGAAATTGAATTTTAAATTTTGAACTTTAATGTTCAAAAAAAAAAAATGATCTATTTTCAAGTATCAGGAATATTGTTCGAATATTACTAATAACAAAGATATGTAAATTAAAAATCTTGTTTTATTTATTTAGGGCCAACTTTTTTTTACTATTTAATTTTTCTTTAAAAACTATTATTGTAAACACATAAAAAAATATACAATTTAAGTATTTAAATAATAAATAAATAATAAAAATAAATAATATTAATCTTATTTTTTTAAACACAAATTTAAGAAACAACTAATCCACTAATCCATTTGTTGAGAAAGAGTCATAAAATCTTTTCAAAAATGATCAATCATTGAATTTTTTTAAATTGATATTTATTTTATATATACATATATTTATTTCATATCTATCCGAACACATTGAGTAAATTTTATTAATTATGGTACCCTGCAGATTTATATTGTAGTTCACAAATCTATCGGACAAATGAAGTACTTCGGTTCTTCAAAGTCCTCTTATAGTTAAACCTTATGAAATTGGGTTTAAAACTAAGCTGTTATTGTGGTTAGAGAGCCTATTGCAGTTGGTACTTTTTTGTTCTTTTTATAAGAAATGTTAAATTCTTTGTGTGTATTTGGCTAGTTAGTTAATTAGTGTACTCAAAACGTCAAACGGAGCGGAGCCTTAACTGAAGTTCGCAGAAATTATAACTGAAACCATTGACAATATAGATATTAGAACTGCTTACAGTATCCAATACTTTTATATCATATTCCTATGAAGTTTATATTACTTCCCTTGGTTCTATCTGTTCTACAGTTGCCAGAGATATCGCTATGTGCAGATACCTGTGTGAGTTGAACACTAACATGCCTAGCTAGATCGTTTAGAGAAGCTCGATATTCCCGAAATATTAAGGATCTACCTGCAGCGCTTATCAGAAGCTTGATTGCAGCATCTTTGATTTTTTAACATTGGACATCTGCAGTTGAAGTGAGATGCTAAGACCAAATATTAATTTGAAAATGTGAAGACTAAGAAGCGAAAATTGCATCGCTCAGTTATGGAATGTAATATAAAATTGCAAAATTTGCTGTTTTTAATGACTATTAATATCTTAAATCAATCAATGCGTCGAAGCAAACTATTTTCTATCAGAATATGTGCTACAGAATATATGACATATAGAAGTTCGACACTAAGTAAAGTCCTTTTAGGTATATATATATTTTCGATTTACAAGTTATTTATAACTAAAAATATTAATATAAAACCGGTTTATATATAAACCTTCGAATACGTTAATTTAATTTTTCTGCATCATCTAAAACGTGATGATTATTCGATATCAAATATTGCCGGAACGAAATGTTTTTATCTTTTCCTTCAAGTTCAAAGAATAGCTTTTTTCAGCATTTATAAATTTTCAAAATTATTTCAAGTAAAATATATCGAAAAAGCTCCTACTGCGCAAAATCTAACCAATTCTTGTCATATCCATATCTGCTGTCAAAATTTACAACGACAATGTCTCATATTTTATATATATATAAATATGTATATGAATATTCTATATTATTATATATATATACTATTTTACATCTTCTTTATTGTAAATTGTATTTTATTAATATTATATAAAAAATTATAGCTACCAAAACAAGAGAAGCAAAGCTTTTACCTCAAAACTTAAACTTTTAAATATTACCAGACCATTAAAAAATATTTAAAAAAGTATTTTTAAAATTAACATAGTACAGTTATTACTGACAAAGACTTTGCATATATCAAATCAGTGGTCATCCTATCCTGTGTTATATCACTTAACAAGTTTAGCGGATACAACAACATATCGGCCAGCTGAAAACTAGGACTATCGTAGCAACTGTTGAACAGACGAGCTTGCACACAAGGGCACACTAATAAATAATATCAACATCTATGGTGCTGTAAATATTTATATATCAATATCAATAATTGAGAATCTGTAATATGCTTTTCTTTGTACAAATGAGGTGCGAAAAAGAAACAACTTGTACGAAGACTAATTAAATCTGGTCATCCAGAAACCAATCTAGAACTAGGAAACTAATTAGTTTTAATAGTACCAATATCGGCAATATTATATAACTTTTAACCACTTGTAACTAAAAGTACTGCCTGAATTATAAAGCTGTGATCTCTTATACAAATGTTAGGCCTTAGCAGAAAGCAGGGCAAACATTCTTAGTAAAACCTTTTACTAAAGACCCCGAATAACTATTAAATAATTAATTGATTAAAATGATAAAGGTAACTCCAATCCAGGATATACGTATCATTAAAAATCTCTAATAGATAACGTCACTCACATATTTTTCAAATTTCAAAATTATTTATATTTATATTTAAATATATCTATCATATAAATGACATATTTAATGTAATATAGTTAGATTGATAGTACTCAAGTGCTACGATAAAACGTAATATTTGTATTAAATATAGTAAACTATGAGTAAGTATATAGTAATCAACAAAAACAAAAAAATTGCGAAAAATTAGGCTACAAAAAAATCATAAAACATCACCAGAGAGACCAAATTTAAAATAAATAAAATACATATACAGCCGTTCCTTACACATATGACTATATGGCATTAAAACTCAATTTTTAAAACTTCAGGCAGTTCAATAGGTTTAAATATCTTGAAGGTGACACCTCTAGAGTTTCCTCGAACCACGAAACCATCAGTTGTTTAGTCAACGCGAAGCAAAAAAGGTGGCTTAACTTATCCGTTATCCGAATTGTAGATGACAGCAGAATAAAAGAGTTTTTACAGAAACACAGGATAAATTGGAAACCCAAAAATTCATCAAAAAATCACATTAAAATAATGAGCATACGAAATTGCAAGATTAACAACATGAACCGTGATTATTGAAAAAATATCATAAAAGAAGTTCTAATCCACACAGAGTTGTAAGAGCTTAGTGATTGTAATAACTGTTATACACAAAAAATAGAGATATAAAAAAATATACGGAATGCGATCAAATAGTAACGATAATTTTAAATTTTGATTTTGAATGCTACTTGTAGTTTTTTGTGTATTGGTTGTACTGTAAATAATAGAAGTGTTAACTCTAAGGCAACTGCAATGCTTAGTTTGAGCTTGCTGAACTAATAGTGTATTCGACATTATTTGTAC